AGATAGATAGATAGATAGATAGATAGATAGATAGATAGATAGATAGACAGACAGAGGTATATGGATAAACACAGACAATAATTTATTGAGCTATTGACTTTCATCAGTTGAATAAAGACACGCATGTTGTGATGTTGCCTCTGGGACAACGTCTGATGATAGCCCAGTCTGGCACTAAACTTGCCATGCAACCAAGAGTGGTCTTCAACTTCTGAGCTTCCTGCCTCTAAGCACGAACTCTTAGATTACAGATGTGCACTGCCACACATGGTTGGGTGAACTGCTAGATAGAGATCAGGCTCAAGTCACGATAGGTAAGTGTTCTGCTACTGACTGAGCTACATCTGCAGCTAAGACACAGATTTATAGTCATCTGTGTCAAAATGCCACTGTCTCAGTCAGTGCTTAAGTAAAACAAATTTTATGTAAGTCTATTCTAGATTATATATTAAAGAGAGTAATTAATATCAAGCAAAGGATTCAAGGATATTCTCAACACATGCAACTTAAATTATCAGTAGTATACTTGAGTTTCACAAACATATATTGAGGACAGTGGTTACTATCAAGTAAAGCATTCAACACATGCAACTTAAATTTTCAGCAGTATATTTGAGTTTTCTACTAGTTCTAAATCTAAGAATAAAAACCAGATTTGAAAAATGATTACATTTCTTTAATTATCTATTATAACCTCTCCAGTCATACATTCTCTCCAGCTGGCGTATAATTACGCTTGATCAATTTTTCTGCATAGGTATTCATCATAATATATACTTACTAGCCAGTTATTGGTTTTTCCCACTATAGTAGCATATACCGTTACTACCATAGCAATTTGGAGTTTTGAACAGGTGGAAGGAAGGTGACTTCTGGTAATTTTGAATAAGTGGAAAAACCTACCAATCAAATCTACTTTCTTCAATCGGTTTAATTTAGTCTGAGGCAGCTATTAGAAGGTCAGTATGCACAAGCTTCAAAGGCATGTGTGTGTGTATGTGTGTGTGTGTGTTTGTGTGTGTGTGAAGTACATGTGACATGTGATGCTTTCTTTAAGACAAATAAAAGTTCAAAGCTACTCAAGTCCTTGGGAACTTCTGAGGTCACCTTCCAGTTGCTCTGAAATTGGCCCAGCAAATACTGTGCAAGCTGCTGTACTTCAAATGGAAATGTTATCTGCTATTCCTCCAGTACTTCAATTCTATCATTCTTTATTTGATGGCCTGTTTTAAAAGATAAACTTGAAAGGAAGCTGGAAGTGAATGAGGTAGATGAATGCCTCCTGATCCAGAAATAAACTAAAAATGGCTCCACAAAAGTCTGTTATACATCACAGCAGCCTAGGTACTGCACTGTTCCTTCTACAGTATACAATACAGAAAAAAAGAGAAATGAGATAATTTCAGAGCGAAAAATACAAAAAAAAAATTGGCTCAATCTCAATCAATTCTAAACAAGAAGTTATGACACTAAAATTATGAATATGCTTAAAACATAACCAGAAATATCTCTAAATGCAAGAGTGCTAAATAAATGACCATTATTATGGTGATTATTGCACTTATTATGACACAATGTAAATACAGATTGCTGTTATGATCAGTTTAATCAAATACTCAGTATTTCATTCTATCCTTTACAAATTAATTTGCAGAGGTGATAGCTCCCCAGTTGATATAGTCACTGTTCTATTGCTGTGAAGAGACACTATGACCAAGGCAACTTCTATAAAACATTTCACTGGGGGCTGGCTTACAGTTTCAGAGGATTATTCCACTTAGGCCCCATGTAGGCTGACATGGGGCTGAAGAAGTACCTGAGATCTATATCCTGAAAATGACCCTGAGCCTGGCATAGGACTTTTAAACTTAAAAGCCCACCCTGCCCCACTAACACTTTTACTCCAATAAGGCCATAACTCCCAATCCTTCTAATCCTTTCAAATAGCACCACTACCCAAAGAGTACACATGCAAATACAAAGAGCTGGTGAGTGTCATTCTTATTCAAACCATCACACCACTGATGCCAGCACTAATATCAAAACAAAATATGTAATGTTATTTTTTTAAAAAGCAAAATGAAAGAAATGCAAATGAAGTTAAATATTCTTATTAGAATGTATGTTATTTTTCCTTTCATTCATATTTATATTTAAAAGCACAACCGGTTTCATCACTTGAGAAACTTATAGTATAGTGAGAATTTTTAACTGTATATACATTATCTCTTGTTTAAACAAGGATGTAGTCATTAATTTTCTTATCAAACCAGATTTCTTTTAGTAAATGAACATATAAGACAGTCCAAAATAGTACATTTTAATTAGCCAAGGACAGGCATGACAAATAAAGAGCCATTTGATACATGTCTTGATCATGATTTAATGGTAACCACACCCAATGTAGAAATGACTAATTGTGATTTCTGAGTACCTTAAACGAAGTATTAAAATATTTTTTCATGTGTATATCAAATGTATAAATGAAGTTATAAAAAGAATAAATTTATGCTTTAAAAGAAAAAGCTGAAATAACCTCCTTTCTAAATCCATCATTTTTCATGAAAGATTTTGCTATTTGACTCTCATCTCAGGTGAAGTTTACCCAAAGATGTACCACATCTGCTTCTTTCTGGTGACGTACATGGCACCTCTGTGCCTTATGGTGTTGGCTTATCTGCAGATATTCCGTAAACTCTGGTGCAGACAGGTAAGTGATATCAAATAATTTGTTTGTGTCTTCTTCAGAAGGTACATGAAAACAAATTTAGAAACGCATCAAACTGGTATATTCAACACAGGATTGTTTGTTCTAAAATAATGAGACTCTGGGTGTGAAAATATCCCTTGCTGTCTTACTGATATTTAACAAATGTCTTAAATTCTGCCTTAAGAAGTCTTCACATCTGATAAAATCTCAATCTCAATAATTAACGGAGTTTTTGTTTTGTTTTGGTTTGGTTTGGTTTTTTATTTTTTTATTTTTTGGTCTGTGAGTAACTTTTTGTTGTTTGTTGTTGTTGTTACAGATTTATTTATTTATTCTCATTTTATTTATATGCTGTTTTGCCTGCATGCATATCTTTATACTACTTGTACACAGTGCCCTCAGAGGCCAGAAGAGGGTCTCAAATACCCTGGAGGGAGATGGTTTAGAGCTGCCATGCGGATGCTGGGAACCAAGTTGGGTCCAGTCCAGTGCTCTTAACTGCAGAGCCATCTCTCCAGCCCTGAGAGGAATAAAGTTATTAATTTTACTTTTCATTATAAATATCAAAAATTAATTTCCATTCCCAGAGACTATAGATATAAGTAGTTAAACTTTCAGTGAATTTTCTAACACATTTAACATACGGGTTATGTCTTCAACTTCAACTACCTCACTTACAGTAGATTTAAAGAATAAGATAGTTTAAGGTTGCTTTCCTCTGCTTCCCTATCTCCCAGCCTATATTTCCCTCTGTATCCAAAGGAATTGAGGTTTTGTTTTGTTGTTGTTGTTGCTGTTTTGGGTTGGGTTTTTTTGTTTGTTTGTTTGTTTGATTGATTGGTTGGTTGGTTGGTTAGTTGGTTGGTTGGTTAGTGGGTTTTTTTGTTGTTTTGTTTTTTGTTTGGTTGGTTTGTTTTTTGGGGGGATGGGAGGGATTGGAGAATTTTAATTTCTGAATTAGAGTTACTGTGATTTATTAGAAAATGGTACGATCCATGAGGTTTGATCCTAGTGATTCATTTGTCATGTGTTAATAGCTTTTGCTTATCCAATCTTAAACTAAACCACCAGTCTATGTGACCTGTAAATTCAGGCTATAGAATGAATATAATCAGGTACACAGTGGGAATAGCCTTTTGTTGTTGTTGTTGTTGTTAATTGATTATTTACCTTTCATCCTGACCACAGTTTCCCCTCCCAGTTCTCTCTTCCATTTTCCCCTTACCCCTGCCCCATTCACTCCTCCTCCCTTTCTCTTCAGAAAATGAGAGGCCTCCCATGGATATTAACTGGCCTTGGCATATCAAGATGCAGTAAGACTAGGCACATTTTCTCCTATTGAGGCTTGAGGAGGCAGCCCAGTAGTGGGAAAAGGACCAAAAGGCAAGCAACAGAGTCAGAGATAGTTTCCCCTCTAGCTATTAGGAGTCCCACATGAAGACCAAGTTGCAAAACTATTTCATATGTGCAAAGGGCCTAAGCCTGTCTCATGCATGCTCTCTGGTTGGCAGTTCAGTCTCCATGAGCCACTATGAGCCCAGGTTAATAGTTCTGTAGGTTGTCTTGTGGTGTCTTTGACCCCTCTGGCTCTTTCAACTCTTCCTTCCTCTTCTGCAGGATTTCCCAAGTTCCACTTAATGTTTGGGTGTGGGTCTCTGCAACTGTTTCCGTCATTTGCTCAGTGAAACCTCTCTGATGATGGTCATGCTATACTGTCTGCAAGTATAGCAGAATATCTAATATAATTAACAGTGTCAGGTGTGGGCTCTTTTTCATGGTGTAGGGCTCAAGCTGAACCTGTGATTGGTTGGTCATTCCCTCAATTTCTGCTCCACCTTTACTCCTATACATCCTGTAGGCAAGACAAATTATGAATCGACAGTTTTGTGGATGGACTGATGCCCCATTTCCTCTATTTAAAGGAGATGGTTAAAGGAGATGGCCAGTTCAGGCTCCATATACCCATCTCTAGGAAATTCATTTGGCGATTTTTCAGGAAATTGAGAGTAGTTCTACCTCAAGATCCGTCTATACCACTCTGGACATATACCCATAGGATGCTCCACCTTGTGATAACAAGGAAACTTGCTCAACTATGTTCATAGCAGCTTTATTCACAATAACCAGAAACTAGAAACAACCTAGATGTCCCCCAACAAAAGAATATATTAAATGAAGATACCTGATAAGCTAGGGTCAGATGGAAGGGGAGGAGGACCTCCCCTATCCGTGGACTTGGAAAGGGGCAGGAAGGAGATGAGAGAGGGAGGGTGGGATTGGGAGGGAATGAGGGAGGGGACTACGGCTGGGATGAAAAGTAAATAACCTGTGATTAGTATAAAAAATAAAAATTATTAAAAAACAGAAAATGCAGTATATTTATACAATAGAATATTACTCAACTATTAAAAACAATGACATCATGAAATTTGCAGGCAAATCGGTGGTACTACAAGAGATCATCCTGAGTGAGGTAACTCAAACCCAGAAAGACAAACATGGTATGCATTTGCTTATAAGTGAGTATAAGCTGTAAAGAATAAGCGCGCTACAACACACAGAACCAAAGACACTAAGTAACAAGGAGGGCTCAAGGAGGGACTCATGAATCTCAGTGAGGAAGGGAAATAGAATAGACATCATGGGTATATGAAGGGAGAGGTTAGGTGGGGGTGAGGATGAGAACAGGAGGAATGAGGTGGATGGAGGACAGAAGGAGAGAGTACTTGGAGAGACAACTGTAATTGAGGTTGGGCATACCTAGGATAAACTAGAAACCTAGAGCAATAGAAACTCCCAACAATCTGGTGGAAACAGCATTTTTAATACAAGCACAAGATACCAGAGCTTGGTGAAGTGCGGGTCTCTAAGTTTAGCTGAATTTAAGTTGAATCTCAAAGACTTGAAAGAAATCAGCAAACGTGTGGAGATTTGTAAATATGCAGAGTGGATAGGGCTTAACTTCTTATGTTTAGTAAGTTATATGACATGATAAAAAAAATGTATTCTTTCTTTTCCTATAACTCTGTCCAGTATAATGAGTTTATTAAACTTGTGGACTAGCAGATTGGTAGTCTCTTTTCTCTAACATATTTTATTGAAAAAGAACCTCCTGGGACCATTTTAATTCACTAAAATCAATTCACTTCGTTTTATTTTAAAGTAATATTTTTATTTTATTTATGAATTTTTATAAATATGTTATATTATAAAATTATATAAAATAAAATTATATTATACAAATATTTTATTTATGAATTTCATATATACATGCAATATATTTTAATCACATTTACCTCTTCTCTCTGTAACTCCTCCAAGATTTACACTCCTTCCCTTACAAGTTCATATCCTATTTTATTTTATTTTATTTTATATTTTATAATCCACCGAATCAAATCTGTGCCTCTCCTATCATCATGAATTTGAGTGATCCACTGAAGCATTGTTGACCTACCAGGAATCACACACTTAATAAAAATTTGTTCCTCCCAATCTCCACCCTTACCCATCACCCATCAACTTTTTAGATAGGCTTAGGAGATCCTGAGCCCCAGGGGGAGTTTTCATTTGCATTTTAGTCAACCCTTGGTATCAAAACCATCTTTTCAAGACCATCTTTCATTGATTGGGATCAAACAACTTTTATAATTTCTAGGCATATTATATTGTATAATTCCTAATTCTTCTTTTCTTGTCTACTTTTTTACAACAAAATTTTAAATGGTTCTTTTCAGCTGTGATGTGTTACCTTGCACACAGAAGGAACTTGAAAACTGTCCTTTAATGTGTATATGACTCTAGAATCACCATGTGCTTATTTACTAGTTAAGCTTATATTTCCCAATTTCCAAAACTTTAACATAAATCGTATTTCAGGCTTAGAAATGATCTACATTTTTTTTAAATGAAATGTCTCACTTAGTACAACCCACATGACTCAAAAGATTTGCAGTAAAATGCCTGAGCTGTGAAACTAAAACATTTAAAAAGCAGATTGGAAGGGAAATGGGCTGACGGAGCTGAGCCCACTTTACAGCTGTAATAAAGTAAATTGACCCCAGATGGATAATTAAAGAGACCTTTGCTGGAGCCGCGCTTGGCTTCTCGCTGTTACTGCCTCTAGAACTGTCAGGCTTTGCATCTGCCATCAGAGAGCCATCAAGTGAAGGGCCTATCCTATTTGCTTAAAGTTATGAGGATGCATGGATGCTGTTTGGTGCTTTTAAATTAACAAGTGTAAAATTATTAGTGAGCAAATTGTGCGCCCTTGTGCCTTTGTCTGACTTTGTTAGAAGCTTTAGCTCTTATTTTTCTCCATTTGTTTATTTATTTACTTATTTATTTACCATTTATTAATACTAGGGAGGGATCCCAGACCCCTCCCTTCTCTCCTCCCAATATCATCCTCACAGCCCCCTCCTCCCTTTCCCCTTCTCCTTCTCAGAGAAGGGGAGGTCCCCAAGGGGTACCAACCCATTCTGGCACCTCAAGTTGGAGCAGGAAGAAGAACATCCTCTCCCTCTTAGACCTAATAAGGCAACCCAGCTAGGGGAAAGGGACCCAGCAGCAGGCAACAGAGCTGGAGACAGATCCTACTACCCTATCCTCCTGCTCAACTGCTCCCCTCCTCCTCTACTCCCCTACTCCTCCACTCCCACATGATGACCACACTACACATCTTCTAGATATGTGTACGAGGTCTAGGCCTAATCTAAGCATGTTCTTTCATTGGTGGTTCAGTCTCTGTGAGACTCAAAGGATCCAGGTTAGTTGACTCTGTAGGTCTTCTTGTGGAGTCCTTGGCCCCTCCAGCTCACTCTTTCCTTACTCACACTCTTCCACAGCACTCCTTGAGCTTGGCCTATTGTTTGACTGTGGGTCTCTGCATCTGTTTCCATCAGCTGCTGGATGAGGCATCTCAGAAGATAGTTATGCTAGGCTCCTGTCTGCAAGCATAGCAGAGTATCATTAATAGTACCTGGGGTTGGGTCTCAAGT